TTCTTCCTCAATGCTTACGGCGCAAATTATATGTAAAGGCTTGTCCCGATTTTCAAAACTTGTATCCACTTTGAATTACGTTGAATGCTGGGGGTTCTGTTGCTTTAATTTTAGATTCACAACAACTTGATAACTTACAATGATGTTAATGCAAATAATTTAAATTTTTCATCTGCTTCTATTTGGTGAGTTATAGTTTTTAATTGTTAAATATCAACTGCAAAGTTATTAAGTTTAAACCTTTTAATTTTCACGGTTTAAACAAAAACCTTTTAACTTAAAATCCCAGCAAATTTTAGTCCAAAATATTTAATTCACTACACACAAACACTGATATTATTTGATGAAAAGTTTTTTTTTTTTTAATTGCTCCCAAGTATCCTCTTATTAAAAATAATACTATTTAAGTCAAGGCTGGACAAGATCTATTATTTTTATTTATTTTATATATCCATAAACAAGTTTCATAAAAAGTGACAACTCAAAGGACATTTTATTTTAAATTACTAAATTACGGCTTCATAAATTATTTTTATATTTATTTATATTAGTATGTAATTATTAACTGATTTTTAAGTATCTTATACAATATTAATTATCATACTAAAGAAAACTAAAAAAAATAAGTTTAAAACATTAAAATTTGATCTAGATAATTCACAAACACAAACTACTTGGAAGTGTGAAAATATAACGACTTCACAAAATATTGAATCTTACCCGTTGGTTTTTCTTTGGGGCCCAAAAAGTAAAATAAAATAAAATAAAATTTCCTTTAACTAGAAAAGCCGTTCATTTATTGATTTAATAGTGGAGATTGGACGAGGAGAATAATATAAGAAAAACAAATGAGGAAAGAATGCAAGTCCCAAGCCACTCAAACTCAAGTAATCCAATGCAGCATCAATCTTAAGCAGGGGAAAGTAATACAGACTAAGAGGATGTTTGGGAAATAATAAAAATACTTTAAAAAATATTTTTTTGTAAATTAAGACAAACTTTTTCATATATTTATTTTGTATACCGTAAAATTACTTTTAAAATAATAGTTTGTTTTTCACCCAAATACTCCCTAAATACAAGGATTGAAGGTTTACCCATTTAAAAGTTTGCATTTCTTCACAACCAAAAAAAAAACATGAGGTTTGTCTTTAAATCTTGACCTTTCACATGTGAATTGCCTAGTCCTATGCAAATTTGTGGCAAAAGGTAGGAATTTATGAATATCATTAAAAGAATCAAAATATCTTTTTATAGTTAAAAAGAAAAATTGAAAATAGTGAGGTAGGCACGGGCATGATTTCTCAGTTTTGATGATTTCAATTATAAAAATAATTGGGACCTCCTCTTGATTTTAGTTTCTTTATTTCAATTCATCATCATATATTCATAAGCCTGAATTGTTTATTTTGATTATTTTCCAAATCAAAAACTACAATCTGAGAAGGATTTTTTTTTTTTTGGCCGGCAGAATCTGATGAGGATTAAACACTTAGATTTGCATTACCAATTTTAAACTAATAAATAAGAAACACAGTGATCGTTATCTTTACTTAAATTTTAATTTAAAATTTTAAAAAGTGAAAATAAAGTTTTAATTAAGATAAAATACTATAAACTGAGAATACCTGTTTACCACTAAGAATCCATGTTTCCTCATCTGAATATAATTTTAAATATTTTCAAACTGAAAATCCACAACTGAAGCGGTGAACAGATGGAGGGAAAGAGAGAAGCTGTATCCGTAAACCGCTTCCTCTTAACGGTGTTATGACTCTGTTTAACGTTTTTCAGGGAGGGGCACGGGCACTAACATGTATGACGGAGATATCTTCAAGCATTTAAAAAAAGGAAAAAAAATTCAAAAAACTTTTTTTTTTAATATTATCATCCAATCAATTTGATTTGGGGTTTGTGGCTCCTCCTTCCTATAAAAGTGTCTTCTCTAAGAGGAAGAAAATTAAAAAAAAAAAAAAAACCAGAGCCAAAGAAATAAGATGATACTACCTCTGGTCTTTAATATAAAACCTGTTGACTTTTATTTTGGTCCTAAATATAAGATCCCAATTCACTTTGTCTCTCATATTTATACATTTTGTCAAAGTAGCCCTTCTAACAATGATAGTTTCAATCCATACACTTGATTAGCAAGGATATTTTAGAAAAGACAATACTTATTTAGGACAAATAATTAACTCAACTTATTTCCTTAATCTCCTCAAATTAGTCAACTGGCTCTTATAATTAGAACCGGAGGTAGTATTACTTACAATAACAAAGTCTTATCCCACTAAGTGGATTATTAAGTGTTTTCTTTGGCTTTCATCTTTTTTTTAGAGGACTTTATACTTAAGATGATATTACTTAGTCAAATTAATTAACTCAGTCCAACAAAGAATGAGTTTCAACTACACTCATATAAACGAAAAGAGAATGTGACGATAAAACAAAAAAGATCAACAACGTTGTTGCAGCAATAATGGTAATGTTGCAGAAAGGTCACCGCGGGGATGAAGAGTATCAGAATAGGTGGTGAAACAAGCTGCATCATACCCAAACCCATGTTCAAGATTTCTTCAAGTTACATGTAATTTTCCTGTTCTCAATCCATATCCATAAACCTTGTTCTCTGTGGCAAAAATCAATTTTTCTCCATTCATAAATGTGAATCCTGTCACGACAATGGCTACGTTTGGATGGTCATTACAGAAGTCAAAAGTGCCTTGGGAAGGGTGTAACTGAGGTTACCAGCTTATTTGAGTGAAAATACATGTTTGGATGTACTGCTTTTGCAACTGACTTATAAGTAAAAGTTGCTTATTTCTGAACGCTGGCTGAAAGAACTTCTCCATTAGCTTTTGCCGTTTCTAACGTGGAGAGAGAAAGAATGAAGATAAAATCTTCTCCCTTCATACCCATTGCTTTCACCCTTACTTTTAAAGTGTTTCTTCATGTGTAAGCTTCATAATCAGTTAAAACCCAGAAATTAAAAACATTTTTTTTTCTTAATCTCACCAAGCAAATTGACTCATTTGAACTTGTTAATTTCCCACATTTGTCTATACCCATGTAGCTTCTTTTGGGACTCTTAAGCATTCTTGAGCTTCCATCTTCAATGTTGTAAGCCATTATATATGCTGAAATAAGGGCTCTTCTTGCTGATAAAAGGGAAAACAATCTGAAGCGAGGCTCTTTTTTATGAAAACGTGCATGTCAAATCTCAGTGGTCTGTACCCAGTGAAGAAGAAACCCATTTCAATCCCTTTCCATATTCCCTCTTTTGTAGAATAGAATTTCAAGTCATGATACCGAGGAGTCCACTCATCTTGAACTTCAAATAAAAACATGAAATTGTTTGAATCTTCAAAATTGCACTCTTATGAGTCTTCTATTAGAAAATCTCACTAGCATCATAGGACTTATAAGTTTAAGGGCTCTCTCTCTTAATAAACTAGTCTTTTAGAATCGAATCTTTTTTTAGATAGAAGCCTCCTCCGCAAAACGTAAACCTCAATTCTAATTTGAATATGAAAACTCAAAATAGTCTTCTCACTTTTACTCAAAAGTCACAATTCAACCCATATGTATATGCATGAATTATCTATCTTGAAAATTTTCTAACTCAAAAATTTCAATCCAATAAGGAATTTTTTTTTGGTGCCTGAATCTGATAAGAATCCAACACGTAGATTTGCATTACGAGAATATCCGAAAATAAAATAAGAAAAATAATGATCGTTATCTTTATTTAAATTGAAATTGAAATTTAAAATATTTAAAAAAATGAAAACATACTTTTAATTAAATTAAAACATTATAAACTAAAAATACTTGTTTACACGCATAAATCTTACGAAATCCCTGCCGTCTCGCTTCTATCTTTCTCTTCGTTTCTTTATAATTTTTTTAAATGATTTTCCCTACAATAAAAAATTATATCAAACTAAAGAAAGTTTGAAACTTTTAAATTAAAATCTTTTAAATCAAAAGCCTTTTTTGCAAAAAGTTTATTCTTTTTCTTTGTATAAATTCAGAATCTCTAAGTCACTTCAAACAAACGACTAAACTCTATATTGTTAAGAATATTAAAATTAAAATCTTCCAATAAGTACGTTTTTTAATAATGAAACCGCTTATTATTTTAACCAAGAGCTTGTTGGTCAAAACAGTTTATTCTTATACCCAAACAGGTGGTATTATTATTAGGTTAAAATTTTATAATAAACCTCCGTGATCAGATAATTGATGAAAAATTTATGACAGAGAGTAGGATTTCTGGTCTTAAACAAAAAACAAAAAAAGGAAAGTGGGATTTCCAATCATGCTCCGTAATGGCAAAATGGCTTGGGTCAAAGCAATTCTACAAATCCATTGATCCAATACGGCTGAAATCGAGTCGCCTCTTGTTAAGTTCGCGAAGGTATAAACATACACACAAGAGTTGGCCTCCAAAAAAAAAAAAATCATCATACACATAATCAGAGTTAATAATGTACTAATTGCAATAAACATTTCTTAACAGATTATATGGTTTCATTTTAAACAGTCAAAGGATTTTGACATCCAAAAGCCAGAAGTTTAAACGGCTGTTCTCAGGCTACTACACAAAATGCAAGTAATCATGAAAATCAAAGGATCTCGGGGTTATGCTCAAAATAATAAATATCACTCTCACTGTAATTTACCATGTTAACATATCTTCCAAGAGCACTCCCGCTTCTAATCTAATACACAACGAAAGTTAATCTACAATGGCGCATGTTAATCTACAATCAGCAAAGCCATAAACAAACCATTCTGATAAAAACCCCTAGTTCTGTCATGACATAAAAAGTTCACAAAAACCATCCAAACAGCCAAAGCCTTGTAACGCAATATGAGAGAGCGCTTAAACAAAGAACATGTCACTCAGAAGATCACATAAACGCTAATTCAAAAATCAAAATTGTTTTGGTGCCTTGTAAATTAAAGTATTCTTAAACACAGCATCAGAGCTGTCCTTAAGACAATCTATAGCTACGTTGTCCAACAACATGATGTAATCAAGTTTATGCAGTTGCCTCATGTTGAGCAGCCAGCCTCTTTCTAGCCTCCTCAATAATAGATAACTTGATACCACGGCCTTTGGGAAGAGAAACCCATGGTTTTGTACCTTTGCCAATCGTGAACACATTTCCCATACGAGTGGCAAATTCATGACCAGTTGCATCCTGAACGTGGATGGTCTCAAAACTTCCCTTATGCTTCTCCCTGTTCTTGATAACGCCAACACGGCCTCTGTTCCTTCCTCCAGTCACCATGACCACGTTACCCACATCAAACTTGATGAAGTCAGTGATCTTGTTAGTTTCCAAGTCTAGTTTGATGGTGTCATTTGCCCTGATTAATGGATCAGGATAACGGATGGTGCGCCCATCATAGGTGTTGAGACAAGGGATGCCCTTCTGTCCAAATTGCACAGATCTAACCTTGCAAAGCTTGAACTGCATTCAGCAAAATCTCGTTATCATAGTGCTTCCAAGGGAAAAAATCTATGGAACTGAAGTGGAAAGATGAGTGAGGGAAAAAAATTTAAGTTTCACAATTAAAGGGTAAGGAGACGCCACAGTAGATTTAAGGGTAAAAGCAAACACTTCCTGCCAGCAATACCCATTGATTTAGACTTGTAAATAAATATCCAAAACAATTCCATAAACCCAGGTAGGAATAATCTAAACAAACCTTTGCTTCTTCATCCCTGATAGATTGCAGTCGGAAACGTCCTTTTGTATCATAAAGAAGACGGAAGTTTTCATTGGTCTTCGGAATGGAGACAACATCTGGTAACAGTTAAAGATACAAATGAAACGGTGTTAAAATGCTACATTTTCAAAGCCGCCAATTCATTAAAATAAGTGCAGCACACAGAAGCAGTGATAAGAACATGTTGTAACAATAGTACAGAGGCTACAGAGACAAATACAATTTGCTCCATATGGAATGTAAAAGCATAATTTGCTTCTAGAAAAATGTCTACAACAACCTGAAGGAATTGTTAAAAAGGACAATATTGTCACCCACTCAAAGCAAAAATAATTTCAACATCAAAATAAAGAAATGTTGTGCAGCCATCAAGTTTGAAGGCACATACCCATGAAACCAGCTGGATATGTCTTGTCTGTCCTAACCTTGCCATCAACCTCAACATGGCGCTGCATCAAGATGGCAATAACTTCTCTATAGGTGAGAGCATACTTCAACCTGTTACGCAGGATAAGGATAAGTGGCAAGCACTCCCTTGACTTGTGGGGCCCAGAAGATGGCTTTGGTGCCTGCACATAAATGAATTTGACAGCATGTCAAAAATGAAAACAAGTCAAATAAGATTGATCAAACAAAGAACTGCTAATCATGTACATACAAAGGCACCGCCTAGTTTGTCAAGCATCCAGTGCTTCGGGGCATTGAGCCTCTTCAAGTGCTTCTTCAAACCTCTGGCCTGAAATAGACAATACAAATACAAATTAAAACATGAGAAACACAGGGAAAGACATTCTTCGCATCTGTCAGCAACTATATGGACTCAACGCAATTGATCATAACGAATAGAACAGGCAAACATATCAATGAATCTTTGAATTCATAAATTTAAATTTACAAATTGAGCATAGCCCCAAAAAAGGAGTATCAATGAAAACATCACCAACATCAAGGGCACGGACTCAAGGCGGCTTTCCATGACAGAGCTTGAACCCATGTTTCAAAATTAAATTTGAGGGGCAAAAAATAAATTCTACGCATAAAACAAAGAAAAATATCCTTGTTTGCAGGTCTAAACGCTAGTAACCTCGGTTTGAGATTAACAATCATCCACAACCCTCATTGTCACATATCGAACGAATATCTTATCAAAATTTTGTATTGAATGTTCATAGTTTGTATTCAGCCAATAAAGTAAGGAGAAGAAAGCGTAAACACAAACATATGCTCCAGAAGCAAAATGATCAGCCTAAAAAAATAGGCACAAATATTCTAATCATAATAAAATTCCATGAGAGAAATCGCGTGCAGATAACATAAACGGCGTACAAACCCCTCTTATTGCTGGGAGCCAAAAAAACACAATAATTAGCGGAACACTAAAACCCAGGCTTCGTCATTATCCAATCCACAGCCAATTCCAATCAAATAAACACCAATATACACTAACAAATAGGATTTCAAACCCAATTAAAAATACTTCGGCACGAGAAACACTCAAAATGTAGTCAGTAAAAAAAAATTACAAGGAATGGAAAAACGAACCCAGTGCAGAGTGCAAAAAAAAACATAATTCCAGAAACATGTTGTGCTGTGCTGAAGCAAACAAGTTTGAGAAGTATGGGTACTAACCATTGTTGTGGCGTGCTTCTCTCAGATGCCAAAGCTGAAAGAGCCTGGGTGCGGCTCGCCTCCCGCCTCGGTGTATGAATTAGTAAGATGGGAGTCTCAACCCTAATCGAGGGGACGTCTTATTAAAACCTAGGTTGAAATGAATCGGGCACCGAAAGACTGGGCCGATACTTGGGCTGCTTCCGATCCAGTAACTTTTAAGTGAAACGGCATTATTATGCGAGAATTGTAAAGCCTGCTTTCAAGTTTTAAATAACCTCCAAAAGACAGTTTTTACCAGAAAAAATCCAAAAGATTTTGAAATTAAAGTCCAATATTACCAAGAGATGTTTGGTCTAGTAGAAGAACTAGTCCCTCACAAGATGAACAACTAAAATTCAAATTTCTGCTGAAAAGATGCTTATATTTAACGCCTCACAGTGTCTTAAATGGGATTACCTCCAATAAAAAGATATCTATGTGTTTAAAAAAAAAGTATAGTATTAAAATAACAAAATACAATTATGTGTTAATGGAAAATAACCAAAATGCTCTTTCTTCTTTTCTTCAGCCGTGCTAACAATTAGTAATAACAAAATAACAAGTACTCATATAAAGATTTATAAGTCATAATTTACATTATAACAACTTATCCAAAAACTTATAAATGTTCATTAATGAATTTACAAATATATATGTATTTTAATAACTAATAGTAGCGAAATGAAAAATATTTATATCAAAAAAGGGCATTTTAATTATTTATTATCAAAACATAATTTTACTTGGGTCTTTTTTTCTCATAAAAAATTTTAGGCATGAGTTCAAGCTCAACTCAAACCAAAGGTAAGGCGTGTGAACTATTCCTCCTAAGTTATGTCAATGTTAGATAAGATGAACATATATTATAATCTCAAATATTAACCCAAACCAAGGCTTGGGCGTGTGAATTGTTTCTCCTAATTTATGTCATGTTAGGTAAGGTGAGCTTATGTTATACGCTCAAATGTTAACCTAAATCAAGGGTAGTGCGTGTAAATTAGGGGTGTTCATGGAGCTAGTTGCTCTCTATACTCGTCCAAGCTCATAAAAAAAAAATCCATCCCGCCCTAAAAAAAAATGGCTCGAGCAAAATATGGGGTATGTTCAGGCAAGGCAAATTGTCGGACAAGGCTGGGCATCGGGCACGGTATGCTACCTTGCCCATTTGACCCTGCCCACAAAAATATATATAATCCTATTTATATATATTTTATTTGCCTCATATTTATCTCCTAAATCAAACACACTGTTGCATTAATATTCAGTATTCATTATATTTATTTATTTTCAAATGATTTTGAGAGTTATGCATGTTATCATTTACTGCGATTTGTATAACCATTCTCTCTGTTTTTTTTTTTTGAATGATAATTGAGATACAAATAAAAACACAAGAAAACTAGTCCAGCTAGCTAAGCCTACTGTCTATCATCACTTTCCACCTCCAAACATAAAGGGGGAGGGTAATCAAAGACACAAAATTACTACTCATCCCATGAGATGTCTTTGCTGAAAAATCAACTAAGGGAATCCTCTCCCTATCTATATGACAAAAAAATAACATGTCAATCCCTGTGTATAGCTACTCTTACATCAGTTACCAAGTCCTTGAAAGGGTAATTATCATCGCATCCCCTAGTCGCTAGATTAATTGCCTCAATACAGTCTGAAAACAACACAAATACTTCTGAAATCTTTAGCCCAGCATAAGTTTAATCCACGTAGGAAGCCCATAAGCTATACAATAGGTGGGGGAACATTCGTCAATTTTGCACTAAAACTGTTGATCCACCGGTCCTGATGATCTCAAATAACTCCTCCGCATTCGATGTTACCTTCCCTTTGCATGAAACCATCAACTTCTAATCTAGTGTACATCTCCCCAACACGACATGCCTCTTCCCTCCGTTCAGTAGTACCCCTATAAACGTAGGAGGTGTTGGAAAGCTCTTGATCTAAGGCTGCCTCGAAGAAGCTGTCCCTTGCATCCCTTCTCACTGTTGTCTCCTATTCGTTGAACACTCTGTTACAGCATGATGTCCAAATGTCTCAAAATATATACCCAAAGAGAATCTTCCACAGTACTTTCCTAATGTAGGAGTGACCAGTCTCATGGTTGAGCTTCCATTTAACCCACTTTGCATCCAAAATGGAGAAAAAAGTATCCCAATACATAGAGGACACGACAGATTTCCATCAATCACTGGCGTTTGAGCAATCCCGAATAAGGTGCATTTGATCTTTTGCTAATTGGCATCCCATCGGGCATAAACCATCCTCTTATAAGTATTTGGGAGTTATGGAAAAAAAAATATTTACATTTGGTTAAGAAATTTTAGAAACTAAAAAAGCAATTAAGTTTAATAAAATATGCTAATAACATTTTTGTTTGTCATAGTTCACTCCTCTTAGCTATTATAAAATGTAGTTTCATAGTATATTAATTAGTAATAACTAAATTAAGGCCAACTTGCCATTTTAATATAAAGTTACCTTATATTATTTAGAGAAATGTAAATAACTAGTTAATTAATATAGTATATTAATTTGCTGGGCATGGAAGCCCGCCCTGCCTAGTCCAAACTTATTAGGGCTTTTCATAAGCAGAGTCGGGCAATGGGCTACATTTTCCAACCTGTTTATTTTTCGGGCTGGGCATTGGGCAAGGGTCTTGCCTCGACTAGCCCTATCCATGTGCAGCCCTAGTGCAAACTACTGTTCCTAAGTTATTTCAATATTAGGTAAGATGAACTTATATTATACCCTCAAACATTAACCTAAATACTCCGTTTACTTTTGTCCTTTCGTATGAAGTGTAATTTTAGAACTTATTAGAAATCAAGCCTCAACAATCAGCTTAACTGAAATTCTCCCTACTATTATTTGACAAAAGAAAGAGAGAATTCCAATAGAATCTAACATAATTCTCTGTCTAGAATTGAATTGGACCCGTTCACCAAGGTCAGTCATTAAGGTGATACAAATTTGAACAGTTAAATTCAAATAAAATTCTTTATCGATTTTAAAGGTTTTTAAAAAGTTCAGAAATTTTAATAAAATATTTAAGAACAAAAGTGAAATTATGCTTTATGTTAGATGACTAAAAATCCTTCCCATGTTTTTCACAAAAGGTTCATAAAAAAGTTGATGATCACGTGCCATTAAACTCATTTAATCATATAGATAGAAAATTTACAGGTGCACATGCATTTTAACTACTACTAATAATAAAATAACAGTATTCATGTGAAAATTTACTTGTCCTATGTGACATAAAAGTGTCTCAAAGAAAACTTTATAAGTATATATCGGTAAATTTACAAGTGCAAATACACGTTTTAACAACTAATAATATAAAATAACAAATGCATATATAAATTTACAAGCCTTGATTTCAAATTTTAAACACCAAAATGAGATTACATGAAGCTATAAAAATAGAAATATAATTATATACATTTTAATATTAACCACTGAGCTACATTCCTAAGTTGGAATTGGAAAATATGATTGATCTACAATCTGAAAGCAGCCTAAAATTCTGAGCATCATGAACCCAGAAAAGACCATCCCAAGCACAACCCCACAGGCCATTGCACCACAAACATGCCCTAATTCGCTACCTGTCTTGCTATTCTCTCTTGTCATTTCAATACTTTCTAATATTACATCATTATTCCCTAATTCTTTTTTAATCACCAATCCTCCATGATCAAGGCCTTCAACTTCAAGAAAGTGATCTCTTGCATCTTCATAGTCAACCAGAGATCCCAATTTCTGTGTCTCTTTCTCCTCGTCACCTTCCCATTTCGCCATTGCCTTCTCCTTCTCATCATCAAAACCTTCTGGACATTCCTCTGTTTCTGCATATTGAATAAAATTTTACCAGATAGTACATAACCTGCTTCAAATGATAATTTTGCCCCCCAAAAAAAGCATGCATGCATGCCATCCTTGAATTTATTCATCCATATAACACACCAGTCTCTATTATAAGGCACGTCCAACCAATTAAGAAGAGGTAATTAAGTTATCAAATTTGTTTGGAAATAAATAAAACTTCAAATTTAAACTTATTCAGAATCATGAAATATATATTAAGAAGTGAAAAAGAAAATGACATCAAATTTTAAACATTTTTCACTGATCAAATGATCCCCAAAAAAAACCTCATGGCCGAACAAAATTTAGAAGAGACAGAAGGTTTAACAACTTAGTCTTTCAAAGATAAAGAACTTGCCATTTTGTGTGGTGCCATGTTACAATGTGTGCGTATTACGCATAAACAGAGGAATGTTTAAATCCAAACGGTTCAAATCTGTTGCTTCTTTTTTGCTTCAATGAAAGATCTTTCCACAGCATAAATGAGTTAGAATATAGTGGCATACATAAGATCTCTTATCTCTGTAATTAATTTTCTTATCTCTTTGTAACATAGACTGGAACTAAAGTGAAATAACGCTCAGGAATAATTTTTAAAACCAAAAGCACATTTCCACGACAAATTGAATGCTATCAACACAAGTGAAAATAGAAAATTGTTACTCATGCATGTAGAATCTGAGGATAGGAATAAAGCAAGTCTAATTCCAGTCGCTTCACCTTTCCACTCCACCATAGCCTTACAGCCCTCAGGAAACTCCTCTGGTTCTGCAAATTCAGCAACGTTCAATTCACCGCCGGCCTCTCCTCCATCGTCGTTGAAGCACGATTCGGTGCAAGAACAAGACGAAGCCACTTCGAATTCTTCGCCGCCGGAGAAGCCTCTGGAACTGTGCCATTTCAGGAAGGCGTCCTCCAATTGATGGATCCTCCGAGCCACGTGCTGCAGATGATGAGGCGTCGTCGATGCTGGAGGAGAAGAAGAAATCTCAGCCGATAAGAGACTCTTAATGAACACGAATTTCTGCTTGATGTCTTCAGCGAGGTATTGATGTTGATCGTCGTGATCATGAAGAAGCAAGGCTTCGTGGAGTTTGGATTCAAGTTCCTGGAGTTTGGATTGCAAGATTGAGCAACGCTTAGTCATTATTATTGCGCTTTTGGTAAGA